GGGGCCCGCCGGGAGGCCGCCGAGGGAGCGGGCGGGGGCCCGAACCGCGGGTCCTGGTCTGGAGGCGGCGCGAGAAGGCGCTGCTGGCGCAGCTCTGGGCGCTGCAGGGCGAGGTGCAGCTCACAGCCCGCAGGTACCAGGAGAAGTTCCTGCAGTACATGGCTCACGTCGGCAGCTTCGGCAGGGACCCGGGCGGCGGCCACGGTCCGGTAAGCGCAGAGGGAGCGAGCACCAGGCAGGGGGACGATGGATTTGGGTGGAAAGAGGAATGGTTCTTCCTGGTCCATCAGGATTCCTTTGGAAGGAGACAACCTTCCTTACTATGCAATGGGAAACGTCCACCCGCCCTGTATCATATTATACTATTACTATCTTACGAATAGGAGTTCTGGTAGCATAGTGCCTAAGCCACTTGACTGCTAACCAGAAGGCTGGCGGTTCAAACCCACCAGTCACTCCTCGGAAGGAAGGTTGGGCAATCCTACTTCCGTAGTGATACTGCCTCGGAAATCCAAGGAGGGGTCGCTATGAGTCGGGGCCGACTGGACGGCAAACAACAACATCTTACGAATGGGTTAATATTTTATTGTAATCTTTCCACTTATATTAGGGTTGGAGAGAGTTGAACAAATTCAATTACAACTTTTCCACGCAGAAATAGGGCTTGGGAAAGCTAATTCCCCACCCCCACCCCCAGGATTCTTGTTACCCATCTTTCACTCTCTTGCCTCAAACTCTCCTTATTATTTTGTCCTTTGAAGCAAACCCGAGAAGGAGAGAAAAGCTGGGAAGCGCAGATCACCCTGATAGTACCTCCCTTCTCCACAGCCCAGTCTGTCTTACACTTGGGAATGGCGTTATTTCTGAAAGACTTAGTTTCCCTGCCAAACTGCCCATATTGAATGCCTTCTGCCCATGAAAGGGACTAACAGGCATGTGAGGACAAGGATAACCTCGAGAGGATTTCTTGGAACCGCAGTTCTTTTCCATCACCTTGACCTTCCGTAGATAACCCTTCTCAGTCTCCAGATCTCATCATTGGGGAAGTATGTGAGCGAAAGGGGGAGATTTTGAAAGATTGATTGGAAAACCACCTCATCCTTCTGTAGTTGGACTGTCCCTAGGAGCTCTAAGCAGCGGCTGTTTACCTTCTTTGTCGAAGCTACTGGTCCCAAGCTGCGCTGGTGGGGCGCCCGCTTTCAGGACGAATAAATAAGACTCTTTGCAGCACCCTGTGTGAAGAGGCTTGTTTATAAAGCTGTTACTTCTCTTCTGGAAGGCTTCTGTACAGTGTTTGACATTGTTGGGCGCTGCTATGGTGAATAGGGATTTAGCAGAACCTACGCTCCATTCAAGGCGCTGTTTTCATTCTTCTTAAGCACTCCTGGGGAGAAGCAACACTGGAGGAATCTCATTTGGGACTGCTGTGCATTGCTTCCAGCTCTGGCGTTTGGAAGCTTCTGTCCTTGAACGTAAAAAGATAATTGAAGGGGGCAACGAACAAGATTCTACCCTAATAAAGAAGCATGCAGTATATTAAAAGGCTGGATGCTATGAGTCTCTGTCTAGTCTCTAATACCCAAACCAAACTTCTTGCCCTTGAGTTGATTGCGACCTGGTGGCATAGTGCCTAGGGCATTTGACTGCTAACCAGAAGACTGGTGGTTCAAACCCACCAGCTGCTTCTTGGAAGGAAGACTGGGCAATCTACTTCTGTAGTGATACTGCTTCGGAAACCCAAGGAGGAGTCATTATGAGTCAGATTCTACTTCATGGCAGTGAGTTATAGAACAGAGTAGAACTGCTCTACAAGGTTTCCAAGGCTATAAATCTTTGCAGAAGCAGACTGCCACATCTGTCTCCCGCAGAACTGAACCAACAGCCTTTCCATTGGCAGCTGAGCACTTAAAAACTGTGCCACCAAGGCTCCTTGTAAGGTATTTAAATTGGTAGATTTGAAAAATGGGAGAACTCAAAAGCACAGAAATACCATCAGGTTTAAAGACTTAGCTTAGGGAGCCAATGACTGATAGAAAGGTACAACTAGAGCTAAACTACCGAGAAGCCTGTATGTTCCTGGAAGTGAGCCCCTGATTTGCAGCCTAATTATCACAGGGCTTGCCTTGCTCTTCAGTCATGTTTTTCCACTACCAGTAGGGGCTGCTGTGTGCACTGCTTGGGAAACAGTGGCGGTGATACCAATGGAATTTTACTCAGAAGTAAATACCAAATATATCATTTCCTTAGATAGTTAAGAATATTCCTGAACGTGAGTAAAGCTCTTCTAGTCTGGCACTATTTCATCTTATATTTAAATTTCTCTTCACCAATAGATAGTAGACATAATTTTCATTTAACTATTGTCTGGTTAAGAGAAAGAAGTACATACCTTCTACCTATCAAAATTCTTTTTTTTTTTTTTTTATTCTGCAGGAATTATTCAAGACTGAAAGAAATATTGTTTAAAATTAGTACTGTTACAATAGCAATTTTAATAATATTGTTGAAAGAAGTTTGTAAATAGTTCAAAAAACGAAATCTAACTTACTGCCCTGGAGTCCATTCAGATGCTTAGTGACTCTTAACGGGCAAAGTAGTACTACCCTATATTTCTCCAAAGCTGTAATCTTTATGGAAGCAGATTTCCACATCTTTCTGTCGTGGGAGCCACTGATGGGTTTTAACCATCAACCTTTTGGTTAGCAGCCAAGTGCTTTAATCACTCTACAACCAGGGCTTCTTATAAATAGTTCAAAGCTAAAAATCAAACCTACTGCTATCAAGATGATTCCAATTCATGGAGAACCTATAGGACAAGCTGGAATGGCCCTGTAGGGTTTCCAAGGCTGTAAATCTTTACCAAAGTGAAGTGGACTGCCTCATCTTTCTCCTGAGGAGTGGCAGTGACTTTCTGGTAAGCAGCCAGATGCACTCACCACTGCACCAACAGAGCTCCTCTGTCAACAGCTCAATACACCTTAAATCCTTTAAATTTTTCCAAAATGAAAATCTTATATAAAATGATTCTAAAGTCATTTAACAATTTACTTTTCTCTAAGTGAGGGGGAAAAAAATTAAGATACTACAGGGTTAAACCAGAAATCTGTTTTAATTTATTTTACAGTGAACTCCAATTAGATGCACTATTAGGATGAAAGAGACCATGTGCAAAAATGCGGTCATTTTAATCATTTTTGAGAATAGTCTTTCCTTCATGTATACAGTGACTCCCTTCAAATATAGTACATACTTTGAGTAGATTTAGGAAAAAATTAACTTTCTCTCAAACTCAACCATCCCTAATTTTAAGGTTTCCCCTTTTAAAATGATAATTTATTTACAGGGAAAAAAACTATCCTGTAGCATTTGTGTTTCTTTTGTATTTTTTAAAATCTATTTAATTAATTTTATCCTCTTTTTTCCCAGGGTGAAGAACATAAGCTTTTCACCATTGTGTTAGAAAGAGAAGATGACACATTGGGATTCAATATTATAGGAGGTCGACCCAATCAGGTAACCTGCCTTATTAATGTATATCTCAATATCTGCTTATAAAATGATAGGAGACTTAGCTTTCATGTGTGGATTTTGAGTAAGAAAAACAATTGGTTTAAATTTTATGATAATGCTTGTTATCAAATATCACTCATTGCTTAATATAAATATTCGAATACATAGCCTTTTTTTTTTTTTTTTGAGGGGAGGGGGATAACTTGTTTGTCTTGCCCGCTTTACATTTTATCTAAATTTTGTAACCTATTGGCTGATTTCATAAACACATTTCACTGTAATGTGCACAGGCCATTTTTATTGATAATATTAGACAACTGTATTCTTGCTTGTACTTTCCACTTACTAAGTCATATTGCTCAGTTTTTACAGGCACTATTAATGTATGTTGGATGAATGACTGAACAGTCTTGTTTTGCAAATCGAAATAAGGAGTAATTGTTTTCACAATTACATAGGAAATATGTTTTAAAAGATGATTTGAAATGTCAGCTCCACCAAAGCAAAATCTTTATTTCATTGAATGAATAATATTCTCCATACTGATGCCAACTGTGTGAAAAATGCATGTTATAAACTTATACCATATACTATAGTTGAAAAGTTCTTTTATGTCCTTCAAATCCTACATTAATTTAACTTTTACCATAACTGGAACAAGGTGAAGACTTAAAAAAGTCATGTTCTTTAATTTTCCTAATGAACTGCCATGAAACTTTTGCATTCTGTATTGCAAATGTTGTCCAAGAAAACCATACTAAGGTTGTTGGCCATATGCTAGGTTTAGGTCAAATGGCAATGACATATTTCTTCCTTGTGCTAGTACTCGAAAACCTAGCAACTGACCCCTGCTGTGCTTCTGATTCTAAAACTACCCCCCTCATGAAAAATTTGAAGTCTCCATCATATCATTTTTGTTCTCTTTTCCTCTGAGGAATGTGGTTATAAATGTTAGTTAGGTGTTTGGCATTTAAATGACATTGGGCATTTTTAACAGTGTCTTATAATGCATGTTATGAAAGGCTAATTAAGGAGAAAATAATTTTATTTAACTTACTATGAAGTAAAATGACATTTAAAATTATACAATTTTTGATTACTATTGAAGATTTTTCCTCAATAAGTTTTTTAATATAATTGGTTTCTTGTGGCTGGCTAACATCTGCTATTTGTACCATGTTGGAGATAGGTGTTTGAGGTTTAACTTATCATTAGGCAAAATGTGCTTGGAGATTTTACACAGGAGCAAGCTTCCAGTCTCTTCTGTGAATAGACATTATTGCAGCTTTGGTTCCAAATCTGTCGTGTCATGAACTTAAATTATATTTTCAAAACTATGACCAGATCTCAAACCAACTATATAGTGGAGCAGAATATGCTGCTGCTTTTTATTATTATTATTATTTTTCCCTCTTTTCTGTTCCCTCTTTATTTCTTGTTTTACTTTCCATCTCTCTTTACAAGTGAGATTTTTTATAAATAATACTTAGCAGCTAGTTGATAGCACCTTATGCATGATCTTTCTCCAAAGCTGTTTTTATGTGTACTCAAAAATGTAAAGTAAATAGATAATCTTGTCAGAAATGCTGGACTTCTTCATTAAAGCTGCCATCTTGATTAATGAGTATTTGGTGGTAAAATTCAGTGCCAAATCCCCAGCTAAGCAAAAGAGTTGCATATTTTAGGAAGATTGGCAATCCTACATTCAATAAATTATCCTTTATCCAACTTGAATTTTCTTTTACAGATTTCTTAATGCTAATGATTATATTCTTTATAGAATAATCAGGAGGAAACATCAACTGAAGGAATTTATGTTTCAAAAATTTTGGAAAATGGACCTGCTGACAGAGCAGATGGCCTGGAGATTCATGACAGAGTTATTGAGGTAAGAAAATAGTAACACACAGCTATTGTCTATGGAAGAAATATTTTGGGATTTTAAATTTCCAAACATATTGCTTTACTTTGGTGTGGTACTTTTTAGAGTATATATCTAGCTAGCAATAGAAACATTCTTTTTTTCTTTTTTCTTACAAAAATGCACAGCTCTAAGATGATTCTATAACAGTTATTTGATAATGGGATAAAAGAATAAATCACCCAAAGTTTTCATAATGAGTGTTTCTGTTTTAATAAATTGTCTTTTCCTCATGAACTTTGACAATAATTGTATAATTAATAAGGAAATTTTTTTTGAAACAGTTCAGAAAAGATAATTACTAGCTGAAGAACATGTTTAATCAGGAAATAATACTATGTTTTAAACACTGCATGTAGAGTTTGGAATTACTTATATAATTTTTTAAAAACTATTTCTTAGTGTAATATGGTTGCCTTGTTTATGTCACTAATTTCTGTATGGAAAAAAGCACTTTCTTATTGTGAAAAGCTGGTGGAAAATCTTTATTTGCTCTAATGTACATTATAGCTTTATTGTTGCATTTGGGGATGACAAAGTTAGCACTTAAAAGCTAGCGATGAGCTGTGATAATTTAATTTTAGTTACAACTATTTGCTACCTTTTTCCTTTGGACATTTTATTAACTGTTAGAGATAGTATTATTTGATGTTACCTAAAACTGTTAGATTACTTTTGTCTACCAATGTGTTATACAGATATTTGGAAGTTTCATATAACTCCATTTTTTTCTTTAGGAAAAAATTATGTTTATTCTATATATATAGAGATCTCTTTCTGAATACTTATCTGAACTATCAGGATGGGGCTGTTTGTCTGTATTAAACTTTGAATATAGCTTTAGTGTTTTCTTTATGTATTATATTTTGAAACTTGAATCTTTAATAATTTGATATTTTATAAGTGTAAAGAGTATAGAATAGCAATGAAAAAGAACATATATTTTGAAATTAGCAGACTAGACAGACACTTTTGAAGAAAAGAAGGGAGTTGCTTTTGACTGAAAAATTGTGTTTTTTATCTAAAGAAGTCTCTTGTATCAAGATTTTCTCCTTCAAGTGGAATAGCCAAGAAGGCACAGACCTACTTTCCCTGACTCTGTTGAGTTTGTCTTGACAATTTGCCTACTGGAAACATTTACATGCTGCAATTTCTAAAGTTAGAATTTTCTATTTCTACTTGTGTTTCTGCAATATGATTTTACACAGCAACATAATTTAAACAAAAAGAATTTGGCTGCTTATTTTCTGCCTTATCTCTAAAGAATTTTAGCTTTTCCAATTAAATTGAAAATAAATGCCTAGATTTAATACTAATAAGAAGGGCTGATGTAACTGAATATGTGTATTCAGTTACACACACACACACACACACACACCCCACAGCCAAGGCAGAAACATATATTGGAGATATGTATATGCTTCGCTAATGTTTCATTAAAAAGGAAGAGGAATTTGACTTTTATATTGTAATATAGCACTTTTGTTAGGAACCCAATGATTTAGTGATTGTAAAGAGGTAATTTTATAAAAACTATGGTTGATAAATCAAGTGCATCTAGACATGTATTTAATACTGCTACTAATATATGTCACACTAACCTTATTTAAATCTTATAATATAAAGTGAAAATAGATCAACCATGGAAATCCAAATTAGAATTTATAACTAGCCATGGTATCGATATTATTATTCACCTTGCTTTGCATATATTAGCTGTTAATAACAAAATTTGAAATTTACCTCAATGATATAAATTTTTCAGTATATCTTTTATACCAGTTAATACTGGTAGTGTACATATTTTTGTTACGATTTTATAATAGATCAATGTGACCCCAGTTACAGTGAGAAACTAAATTAGATGATGTATGTATTTCTGGAATGTTGTCTGTTAAGTAGCATGAAATAGATTGGAGGAAAGATTATTATAAACAAATATCCCATATTTAGTTGTTTGGTGAAGCACTCAGACTTTTGAGTGAATAGATATTTGTATGATTTTACTTAATAACCATTTAAACAAGTGACCTATATGTTTCTGTGCATCTCTATGTGACGTGAAATATCCCTATGTACAAAATGAGGTTAGAGATATTTGATGATTGTCAATTATTTTAATTTATCTGCCATTATGGACCCACTCAACTTGAAACGGGTTATAGCTTATATCTAAAATGACAAATATATATTGATTAATGAAAAATGAGCAGATAGAAAAACAGATTTTAAAATAATTTGTTTCTGTACTCACTGATTTGTTAACTGAATAAATTTAATGGATTCTTTCTTTCAGTTTTTGAATTTCAGATGGCCATCTTAATATAAACCTAGTGCAATAAATAAATTTGCTAGCTGTGTAAATAGTAAAAGTAGTTTATATATTATGAAACTACCCATATGGCTTAACTACCACAGACTGACATATTCCTTAATGCTTTAAACTTAGTGTGACTGAGAAAAAGACAAAATGGAAGTTAATTTTTACTCACAGTCAAGATATACTCTCAAAATATTTTCTCTATTTAATTACTTGAAGGCCACATTACATCAGATTTATTGATTGTGCATATAAAATAATAAAATTTCTTATATAAATAATAACCTAATATGATAAAGTTTGCTTCTATTGATAGTTAAAGAGATTTTACTAATTAAAATACTAAATGTAACAATTTGCCAATGTACAACTCCAAAAGTATAATTATTATTATTTTTTAATAGTCTACATTCCAGTGAAGTGAATCCAATTTAAGATCATGGAAGAATAAAAAAAGAAAATAAATCATAAAGTATGTTTCTATTATATTTTTCATGTGGTACATAATAAGTAATTAATTTTTGAAGTCAGTCTCTATGACCCACCACATTGATCTGTTTCTATCTGTTTACATATCCTAATTTGTTGAAATATTTGCATGTGTAGATTCAGAAAAGGATTGTGATATTTGAGTTATAACATTAGATGTCAAAGTATTCCTGGAGACTGAAAAGGCTGAAGATATTATGAAGGTCATTTTTAAACATAGCAAGAATTCACTTGGATTTGTTCACCAGTGTGCACATCAGAATAAAAGCACATTTTGCATGCTGTTTTTCACTCTTTCAAGATTCAAAGATAACCCAGAAAGTCCTTGATACTGTTGGAGACTTGCCACAACTCTGAAAGAGGGCAATATTACCACAGTTGGCCTAGTCATGCTGAGATTATCATCATGTTAGGATGCCTGAGAGGGGAGGTGTGGAAAGGAGTTGAGAATCTACGTTCACTGCTTGAATCATCTTCTACTCCCCTGTTCTCATTTCTGTGGTGCTCATAGCAGGCAATGGAACCATAACCCCAAAGAGAAGTGAATAAAAGTGTGGCTGGTCATTCATGTCTCTTTGCTCACATTTTCTTCTCCCCACCTCTCCCCCCTGCTCCTAGTCAATGTTGTTTGACAGGAAAGTACAAGAGACACAGTTGCCATCCACCCTTCTCTCAAATTCTGGAGACCAGGAAGTGAGGGTGGAGTTCTTTGGAGTTTATGAGGAGAGAGCAGAGTTTTCTTTAGTGTGTAGCTTAAGATCGCCTTGATTTAGTTTGCTTGAAATTTATCATGAATTGTAGATAAAAGCCACGTTTCTTTTGATTTAGAAACAGTTCCCACTTTAAACAGCGTCAATGTAGTAGCTTATGTAAAACCCTGAGTTTGATAGGGCAGAAAGAATTGCATAAATGCATTGTCTCAACAGGAGTTTTTAACTATTTTCAGACTGCCTATTATACTCTTTTGTAGTTGTTATTCTTTAATGTTATACTTTCTGCATTCTCTGTCATTATACTCTTGTACTCCTAGAGAACAAATCTTTGATAATTGTCATATTTATTTGGCTAAAGCTCTGCATAGTTCGGTTATAGCTGTTAAAGCAAGGCATTTACACTCAGATCGGTGGGCTACCTGAATATATGCCTAATGGCATAGCACACCTGACTGCCTCATGAAGCAGCAGCATGAATTAGTTCATGCATAGGCTCATTTACAAGTTTTGCAGATCAGTTCTAAATCTGGTGGGCAAATAATTTCTTGACAAATTGCTGTTTAATTCTAACACAGTAATGAACTCTTCAATAAAAATATTACCATCATCTTACATTTCTAGAGAGTATTTTGACTCTTCAAAATAGTGTAGACTGATTCCTGAGTTAGAAAATACCTAAAATCAATCATGTTAAGGCCAGAGACACACACATTGTAATGAGATTTGTAATCATAATTCTTATTTAAACTGAATGTAATTTTAACTTCATGGTATAGTTATTATATAATTTTATAACTTACTGTTTCTTGCAAAGTAGTATGGTATGGTGGGAGAAGTGTGGGCTTCAAAGTGAAGGAGATGCATATGGAATCCCTGTCCTGCGTCTATAATACTTGTGTGGCCTTGTGCAAGCCACTTGTACCTGTTTCTTTGCTGTTTACTGTCTATGTGCCATGTCCGATCCAAGGAAGATTCTCAGAATCTAACATTGTGAGCTTGATGTATTGCCTTTGGATTGTGCAAGTAGTTTGTCCTCCAGAGCACAGAGCAGGGTAATCTTTCCCTCTTTTTCTCTTCCTGGAAGAATCCAGGTCACCTTCTCACAAGTTTGCTATTTCCATAGGCTCCAGATATTCAGTAGAAGAAAGTAGCCCTAACGTGTATTTTCATGTTATCTATATGCACAATCAAAGGCCAAAAGGACTATGGGGAAAAGCTTTGTAATGTGCACTTCTGGTTTTACTCGGCAACTCAACAAGCTTTTACTGATTTCCTTATATGCAAGGCAGTATACTCTGTGTTACAGAAATAAGGATCAGTAAAGCCCATCCCTATCATCAAGGATTCATGGTATTATTGTTTTGAACTGCTGTTGAGTTGCTGCACCTCATGGTGACCCCATGCACACTGGAATGGAAGGTTCCCTGTCCTGTGTCATCCCCATA